AGGCATTGTGACTATGGTTAACAGGTAAAAGGAAAGCTATGTCGTTTAGAATACCGATGGTCTGGAGAAAACCATCAAATCATGTGGATGGTTGTTACTTTTGTCTGACTAATATATGTGGCTGCCTATGTGATAAGGTATATGAACCTGATGAAGATTGCTCACCTCATCTTATTCTTGGATTCAGATTGAAATTAAAAAATCTCCTTGCGACGAGTATCACTTTTTCTTGCTATCGTCATTGTAAAACAGAACTTGCTCCTTACTTTCAAGAAAGATATGTAATAACATTCAGTAAGTGATAAAAAATATTTTGGAATTGACTATAAACCTACCGCAGACTTTATAAATTCATCAAAAGCTAGTTTGAAAGCTGTCCTTTTACATAATGGAATCAAATTTATGCTTCAATTCCAATAGCTCATTGCTGTAATTTAAAAGAAACATACGACAATATGAAAGCTCTTTTGGAAAAAATTGAATGCTAGAAAAACAACTAGTTAAATTTTAGCGATTTCAAAATTATCGGTATACTCCTAGGTTTGCAAAGTGCAAATACTAAATTGTTTTTTTTTAATGGGATAGCAGAAATAAGTCCAATTCCAATCACTATAAAGTGAAATCTTGAAAACAAGAACACTGTTGACACCAAGCGCAAAGAATGCCATGTTCAAAGAATGTCATTCCATTATTAAACACCAAACATGTTCTGCTTCCACCTCTATATATTAAACCATATTTTCAGTATTTGGGTAAGAAGTTTTCTAAGATAACTTATTAATTCGATATAGAATCGAATCGATTATCGAATCGGATAGATTATTGAATCGAATCAATGATCGAATTGAATCGAATCGATTATCGAATCGAGTCGATTATAAAATCGAATCAAATCAAATATCGAATCAAATCAAAGAGATTATCGAACCTAATCGAAACCTCCTTGCTTAGACATCTTAGAAAGCTATGCTTACCCTCCTCGGTCACTCCCGGAGTGCCACATCCCGTTTTATTAACTTGTAATCAATGATTTTTTTATTTTCTATATTCTATTCTTTTATTTATTAAGCATAGCCAATATAGCAGACCTGTTTTTTCGTACAAAAGTTAGATGGCGATTTGTTATGTGCGTGATAGCGAAAATCCAATGGCAGACTGATAATGAACCAGGCAAACATCATCATCATTCTGGCTTTACAACTCTGCGTGGGTTCTAGCCTCCTTAAGAATTTATTTCCAGTCGTCCCTATCCATCGTCTTTCTCCGCCAAGCACGGATTCTTTTCTCGGATATTTCTCATGTCTTCATCGATGTTATCAAGGAACCATGTTCCTCTTCTTCTCTGACCAATGGGTCTATCAAGGGGCGTTTTTCTAGCTGGGTCATTTTGTTCCATCCGCATTACATGTCCTATCCACTTCAGACGTCCTACTTTAATATGTTTTACGATATCAGGTTCCTGGTATATTCTAGAAAAGTTCGAAGTTGTATCGTCTTCTCTACACTCCATTGTCATTCACTGCTCCATAGATTCGCCTTAGTACTTTTCTTCCAAAACATGTTTTCATAATTTTTTTTTTTTTAGAGTCCAGATCTCTGAACCATATGTTAGGACTGGGCATATTGTTTTGTAGTTTTATTTTTGTATTTTTCAATATAATTGTGGATTTACGGAGGATATTGAGCCTAAAATAGCATCTGTTAGTCGTGCAAATCCTGCGGTTTATCTCTGCGGTAGTATTATTTTCAGTGTTAAGGAGCGCTCCAAAGTATACAAATTAGTTCACTGCTCTGATGACGTCGTTTTCTATAATGAGTGGTCGTAGGATTTGTGATTGTGTTCTTATTTTCATATACTTCGTTTTGATAGTGTTTACTATTAAACTCATTTTTGAAGCTAATTCTTTTAATGCTACCTACGCCTCTCGTACAGCATTTTCCGTTCCTCCAACTATATTGATATCATCAGCATAAGCCAGGATTTGCACTGATTTATTATACCAGTGGATGTGATTTGTGACATACGTATTACCTTTTTCATATCCAGATTGAACAGTATGCAGGAGAGAAGGTCTCCCTGGCGCAGCCCATTTGTTTTAAAAGGTTCAGACAGTTTCCCCTGAATTCATACTATACACTCAACTCTTTCAAGAGTTAGTTCTGCTAAATTTACCAACTGATTTGGTACTCCTAGCTCTTTCATTGCTTTAAACATTTCTCTTTTATTCACAGAGTCGTAGGCTGCCTTGTACTCTATAAATATGTGATGACTATCAATGCCATATACCAGTGTTTTTTTCCAAAATTTGTTTCAGGGTTGCAATCTGATAAATTGTAGATTTACCAGCTCTGAAACCAGCCTGGTATTTTTCTCCTGGGAAAATATTTTATATGCTGTATTTACAAGCGTAATTTCTCTGTGGTTAGAATGTTCAAAGATATCTCCTTTTTTGTGTATGGTGCAAAGTATTCCAATATTCCAATCATTGGGGAGGGATTTCTGTGTCCATATTTCTTTTAAAAACTGCTGTAATTACCATAATGGTATCATTGCCCATTGCCGCCTTCTTTATATAGTTCAGCTGAAAGCTTCTCTCTCGTCCGTTCCCCCTACCTCATCTCTTTTGCGTTCCAGGTTTTTTTCTTCTTCCTCCATATTAAGTGCCTGGTTAAAGAATTCCACCCATTTCCTCAATACATCTTTTCTTGTTGTTAATAGGTCACCATTCTGACTTCTGCATTGTCTTGTGGTTGCCTTGAAATATTTTCTGTTGATTTTAACTTCCTTATAGAATGCTCTGAATTCTTTCTCTCTGTTAAGGTTTCCTATATATTTAAGTTTCATTTTTAGGTGGTCTCGTATTTTTCTTTTGTGTGTCCTCTTTTCTTCTTTTCTCTTTATCTGGAAATTCTCTACAGTTGTTCTAGTTTATTGAGTAAGCATCTTTCTTTAGGCTTCATTTTTTTCTTTTGTTGCATTCTTGCATTCATCGTCAAACCAATATGAACATGACAAACAAGTTATAAAACACCTTTCACTTCACAGTCATCAATCAATTTTTTTTAAGTTGCAGCACTTTGTTATCATAGTTATATCTTCGTAGAGAACAAAAAGTCTCAAACATTAGTACAGTTCACTGAGGGATCTAAAACTGCCCATGGTAATAATTATATCGAATCTTGCAGTCTAGGTCAATGTAGAACTGTGTTCCAGGCTGAAGTTTTTGCTTTGGTGGCCTGCATTGGTGAAATTCTGAATAAAGACCCCAAATTAAAGACAATCATTTATAGAGATAACTAAGCAGCTATTCTGCCTGTAACCCACTCACCAAATCTAAACTGGTAAGGAACTGCAAAGATCTCCGCAAAAATCTAGCAAAAGACAAAAAGTGTCTTTATTATGGATGTAGATTCAGGAAGTTACTGCTAAATTAAAAGTTAAAATTGAAAAAGCATCAATCAACTTTATAAAAATGAAAAAAGTTTTTTATAGCAAAGATTTGGCATTTGCCTCAAAATACAATTAACTGTTCTGCTCTGTAACTCTACACAAAAATAATAAATTTCAGCAAAATAAATATTGTTAGAATTAATGTGAAAATAAGTGATAATTTGAAATAAATAACATTCATTTGTTATGAGTTAAGGAAAAAAGAACTTACCTTAGTTGAACTTAAATTATTTAATTGCGAAATATTTCTTCCTTAGCTTTTATAACATATTGAACACCTTTTTAAATATACTTACGTAATCAACAAATTTTTTAGTTTTGCTAGACTTGTTTGCATTTTTTAAGCCTATAGATTTTTAATTGAATTAAGATCTGGTGAGTTTCCTGACCATGCAAGGCATGGAATATTTTGTTCTTGATCTGTTTTCATCAAGTTAGCAGTCAATAACTGTTTGTTTTTTGCAGTCAGACTGTTTTCTTCCATCTTCTATAAGTCTTTTTTCTCTACAGTGGAGTATTTAACAAGGCTCCTAGTGTGTCCTAAGTCTTGCAGACATTCTTGGCTTTTTTATAGTATAATTTACTTTCCCATATTAAAAGATCATTTGTCCACTCTTGTCCTTGTATTTCTCTTCCATTCGCATTTCCTTATTCTGTTCACATCAATTGTCCCAGTGTAAATTGTTTTTTTGGTTAAAAGTCTTAATTATAGCTGGTAAAATTACAACACATATATCTACGTAGTATCACTTAAAGTTACTGGTATGTGTTCACTTGGAGTAACAATATTAGTCAACAAACTAACTACAACATATCATGTAGGTGGTCGGTCAATCACCTACACTATGGGCTGACAATTTAATAAGAAAAAAATAAAAACTGAATGAGAGTGGTGCAAAATAGACAGGGTTGAAAACACGAGGAAGAAGCCTATGTTCAACAGTGGACTTTTAAGGCTAGATGATGATGAACAATATTAGTGCACATTTTGGAAGTAATATTCATTGTCAAAAACAAGAGACAAATAAATAATATTTCTAGAAACAACAAAAATGTAACATATCTGTAGTATGTATCATTATTCACTATCAGAACTTGGTTTGACCAAATGTGTGTCTAATATTAGAAAGTTAATATAATAAAAATTAAGAAGCCTTGTGTAAATTTGAAAACACAATCAGGTACTTAAAGAAGGTTGATCTATATAAGAATTAAATAGTACAATAACTCAAGAGGTAAGCTGGTGTTACATGGATAAATTAATTATAATATTAGAACAGTGAAGGAAAATAATATCTATATCTAAAAATTGGTATGTTAGGCTAGATACATGCAAAAGATATGTTTGTTGATCTTAAGGACAGTGTACTAAAGTGTTTTGTTAAGTACCGCTCTGTACAAAAATGTGTATTCTCTGTGTATACAGTATCAACATGGTTTGATTTACACTATTCTAATGGTAAAGTAATGTACCTAAAGAGATCGTAGAACAAATTTATTTATGTATTCACTGCCCATTTAAGATTGTTTCACTGTATTCAAATATTACCTGACTATAATTAATTCGTTTGATCTCTTTATCATCAATCCCCATGCTTTTCATCCAAGTTTCATCAGGTATGTCTTCATTTTCCATTTGATCCTCTGTATCTTGCATTTGTGTACTATTTGCTGTTGTTTTGTTCTCAAACTCCTGATCAGGTGATCTTGTCTTTTTTAGTGGCATAGTAAATTCAATTTCCTCTTGTTTGAGCAAGTTCCTAAATCCTTTGGTTGTTGGAGTAATGAGAACATGTAAATCTAGAAAAATGGGAAAATGAAAATTTTTCGTAAAATATTCTAAAATCTATTAAACATGATGCACACAATAAATGAAAAGACAATTAATAATTATAACATTTACTCAGGTAATAATGCAGAAGAAATAGAAATTATATGCTTAGTTAACCAGAATTGCTGACCATCAATCTAACTGAACCAGAAACAGAGGTAATAATGTATTACAAAAGAAATTAGGATGCACAACAAATGATTAAGAAAAAAAAGAAGGCAAGAAATATCAGAACGACTGGCAAAAACAATGACGAAATACAAACAAATATAATTGATTACAAAGAACAGGATAATCAACTGAGTTGGCTGAGATGCTATACTATTAAGGTTAGTTAAGGGAAAATATAGCCCTAAGAATGGTAGAATATACCTGAATACAATATATTATTAGTTAAAAAGGATATTTCATCAAAAGTACACTTTAAATATTTTTACTAAAGTGTAGGATTCAAGTAAGCAAAAATTACTATATACTTACTTAATGTCTACAACTCATACAAGAGAATATTAAGTATAGTTTACCTGTAAATCCACTAATACCAGCTGCCCTAAAAAGTACTGTAAAAGAGTTGGCACAAGCATAAAAATATGGGCATTGTCTAGTCCTTATTAATTGAAACAAAGATCTTAAGCTATCTGACCAAGCTTGTTGTAGGCTTTCTCTAACATGAGAATTTATAGGTGCAACACTTTGTACTTTGGAAGAGATTCGAGGAAAAAGGGACATCCATGGTAAATGTGGATGCATCCAATACAAGCAACACTGATGAAATTTTGCATTTGGTGATGAATCTAAATTATTTCCAGGATCATTGTTTAAACATCTTGCAAATGCGGTAATACCACTGGCTTCTTCACTCACTTTAAGCTTTTGACTCCATGGAAATGGCTTGGAGGAGATTAATCTTAATTTATCTTTTAATGCCCAATCAATTGGCAACCAGTTCTCTCCTTGGGCTTTAACCACTTCTATAGATTCTTTGCCATCTGCATTTATTTTATTTAATATGTCACTAAATGATGTAAAGGAACCATTAGGAGAACTTAAAGGTTTTTGGTTGAAAAGTTTGAACAAAGTTTGATCTGTGGATTCATCTAGGCAAAAGTTTTGTTCAGTTTTTATTTTTTTGTTTTGACTATTTGTAACAAAAGGGTTAGTACGTTTCTTAGCTGCAAATATATTTTCAAATGACTGAGAAGACCCACTGGTAGTTAACTCTTGTTTTGGATTAGTTCCTTTGATTCTAGCCTGTAATGCCTTTTTCTTTTGTTTCAGTTTATGTAATTTCATTACATCTGTAGGATGAAGCCATTTCGGAATGTTACTTGTCTCAGGATTTTCAGTCATTATAAAATTACGATTATACAAAAATATTCCTACATGTAGTACATTTTAAGGTGATTTCATTATTGTGTTAAACTTTCCCAGAAAAGTTTGGGTATTTTTGAGGTAGTGAAAACCATAGTTTATAATCCAGTAAACTTTCGATCTGTTTTATTCTATTTTCTCATATTGAATACTGTTAAAATTATGTTGAATAATATAATTAAAAATTTAAATACACAAAACAATGTACTTCCTATTGACAGATGAAGGGCGCCACAAATTATACAAGACACATGACATACCACACATCACAGACAAAGCATGGTTGACACTAGTTGACAGCTAAACTTGAGGAAGTGGACTGGAAGTAGTTCTTTTGTTAAAATCACAGAATAAGAAGCCGCGGTAGTTATCGACGTTATCGTATCTAACCTCACTTTTAGATATTTTAATTTTAAATTAAAGTGTAAAGTGTAAAGTGTACTTTCTTTTATGTGAAGTTCTTTATTTTGTTTTGTTTGATTAGCTAATATTCTGTTCCATACCGATACGATGTCGAAGGCCATAACATTTGTAACTGGCAATTCAAAAAAATTGGAAGAGGTTGTTCAAATTTTAGGATCAGACTTTCCAAGGAAATTAATTAGTCAAAAATTAGACTTACCTGAGCTACAAGGTGACATTAATGAGATATCTATTCTAAAAGCTAAAGAAGCTTACAGGCAAATATTAGGACCTGTGATTGTTGAAGATACAGCTTTGTGTTTTAATGCCCTAAAAGGCTTACCAGGTCCTTATGTAAAATGGTTTTTGGAAAAATTAGGTCCAGAAGGTCTTCATCAAATGCTGTTTGGATTTGAAGATAAGTCAGCAGAGGCTGTTTGTACATTTGCATATCATCCAGGATCTGAAAATGACAAAGTAATTTTATTCCAAGGTAAAACTAGTGGCACCATAGTCAGTCCAAGAGGACCAAGGGATTTTGGTTGGGATCCATGCTTTCAACCAGATGGGTATGACATTACTTATGCAGAAATGCAGAAGACAGAAAAAAATAAGATTTCACATAGGTTTAAAGGTCTTGATATGTTAAGAGATTATTTTATTAAAGAAAATGTTGAAGTAATGTAGTATTTGATTAGCTAAAAATACCTTAATTGTTGTATTATATAATTAGTAAATTTAATTAAATACCTTAATGCAAACTTAATTATTAATATCAGTTCCCCAATAACTAGATAATTTACATCAGTAATTGAACTATAGTTAATTAATTTCACCATTAAGAATATAGTTATACTGTAAACACATATGGATATTTAAATTTTTAAAAAGATCGAATAAATATGTAGGAATATATTGAGTTGTAACTATTTGTAGTGTGTCTTCTATTAAGGAGAATATTCACATAACTCTGAGGATGTGTAGGTCACTATATACATACTGTATCCTTTCATAAAGAGCTATGGTAACTGTTTTACAATAATTGTATCAAACATTAATTATTGATCTTAGTAAGACTAAAATCAGAAAAACTGGAAGTATAAAAAACCATAAACTTTTAAAATTTGCCTAATAAATAAGTAGTAGGTATCTCTTTAGAGCTTGTTTATCAGTGTCAATATTTACTCTAATTGTGTATTATCTATTTATTATTTCTTGTATTACTTACTGATTTTTGGTGTGTCTTTTGTGCATTTATTATTACGGTACTGTAATTCAAATTGTTTTATGGTCTGTTTTCCTGTAGACATATTTGTAACACCTTTCAGAGATTATGTCACTATGAATGCTATTTATTTAAATACTGTGGTGATGCCTAATGCTGGATTTATAGTTTGACGGACTGTAGATGTAGATGCACTGGAGATGTAACAAATGGACTGTAAATATTATCTCAATTTATAAATCGACAAAGTGGAATTTTTGCACATGAGTAGAAACAGTGGCTAGAGTTGGTGACTATGATACTATGATATTCTTTTATTAGGTATTTATTATTAATATTTTATAAATTTATTATTAATATTTTATAAATTATTAATTTACATTACATTAAATTCGAATATGTTGATTAAACAACTTTACAACATTGGAGGGTGGTCCACTTTGATTGACATCACAAAATTCTTCCTTATGATTGGCCAGACGCAAGTAACGTACTGTAGGAGATGAAAGTTGGCTAACTCTTCCGTTCCAGTGCATCATTTATCAATAATCATCATCACTTGGCAATCCTTTTTGGGTCTTGGCCTGTTCCAGGATTCTTCTCCTTTCTGATCTGTTTCATGCTTTGTTTTCTCCAGTTTTTTATTTTTAATGTTGTTATATAATTTTCTATTTGTTCTAAGTATCTCAGCTTCGGTCTTCCTCTTGTTCTTTTTCCTACTGGCATCTATTTGAATATTTTGTTAGGTATTTCGCCTTCTTCCATTCTTTCTACATGTCCTATCCAGCGCAGCCGTCCTATTTTAATGAATGTTATAATATCCTTATCCTGGTATATTTTGAATAGTTCAAAGTTTTATCTTCTTAGCCATATTCCGTTTTCTTTTGTGCCCTTATTAATGTGTTGCAAGATTTTTCTTTCGAAGGTGGCTAACAACGTTTCCTCTCTTTTAGTGAGTGTCCAAGTTTCTGAGCCGTATGTGAGTATCAGTCTTATTAAGGTTTTATATATTTGGCATTTTGTTTTTCTTGTGACGTTATCTGATCATAGTTGCCTAATTAAGCCATGGTAACACTTACTGGCAATAAATATTCGCCTCTTCACTTCCTCCGCAACGTTATTATCAGACGTGACTAGGGATCCAAGTATACAAAGTTTGTTACCCTCTCAATGTCGTATTCTACTATTGTTATATTTTGTAACTGCCTTATTTCTGCGTTTTTACTTACCTGCATATATTTTGTTTTGGTCTGATTGATTTTAAGACCACTATTTTGTGCAGCTCGTTCTATTTGGTTGTATGCTTTTATCATTTCTCTTCTTGATCTTGTGATTATGTCAACATCATCTGCAAATGCTAGTATTTGCACGCTTTTATTAATGATTGTTCCTCGAGTATTGACTGTTGTGTCCCTCAGTATTTTCTCGATTACGATGTTGAACAAGATGCATGATAGAGCGTCTCCCTGGCGTAGTCCCTTTTTCACATCTATTGTTTCTGTTAATTCATTTTATATCCGGATTCTACTTTTAGAGATTCTTTTATCAGTTTTATTAGTTGTGTTGGTATATTAAATTCTTTTATTGCTTTTATTAAGAATTCTCGGTTTATATTGTCATATGCGCTTTCAAAGTCTATAAAGAGATGATGTGTGTCGATGTCATATTCACTTGTTTTTTTCGAGAATCTACCGCAGAACAAATATCTGGTCTATTGTTGACTTCTGTCTACAGAAGCCATTTTGGTATTTGCCAACTATTTTTTCAGCGTTAGGTCTAAGTCTTTCATAAATGACGTTGGACATTATCTGTATGCTGCATTCAGCAGCGTGATTCTACGGTAGTTTCCACATTATTACTGATTTTATTTTTTATGTAATGGTACAATGATACCGCTTTTCCACTCCGCTAGTAGCTCTTTATTCGACCATATCTTTGTTATCAATTCATATATTGTTTTTTGTAGTGCGTCTCCTCCTTCCTTAAGTAACTTCGATGCTATTTGATCCAATCACGGTGCTTTATTGTTTTTTAATTTGTCTACTGCTGCTCTAATGTTGGCTATTGTTGGTGGAGTCTTTTTTCTGTTATCTGCTTGGTCTAATGGTATGTCAGGGTTCGTCTCTCTCCGATCTCCTTCAAGCTTTTCCGTAAACCTGTTCTGTCTCAATATTATCTTCCTTATCTTTACACATCGTTGTTCTTGGTTTGAAGTCTTTTCTGCTTTTGTTCAGTTTTTGATAAAATTTTCTTGTCTCTGTTGATTTACTTAGTTCTTGTAGTTCTTAAAGTTCTTTGTTCATATATTCTCTCTTTTTTTTCGGTGAGTTTTCTCTTCTTCTATTGCGTAGTTGTTTATATTCTTCCTCTGCTTGTCGGGTTCTGTGCCCCTGTTGCATAAGTAAATATGCTCTGTTTTTTCTGTCTGTCATAATCTGGCATTCTTCGTCAAACCAGTCATTCGTTGTTGTTCTTTTTCTCTACCTTCTATGCCTAATACTTCTTTAGCTGCCTCTTTTATGATGTCTCTGCATTCTTCCCACTCCTTATTTAGGTTTTTATGTGTTAGTCTGTTTTCTAGTTTGTTGTTTATCTTTTCTTTATACTCTTTATTTTTGTTTGTTGCTTTGCGTCCTTCTACCTTGTGTCGTTCATGTTTAGAGCCTTTTTCCTTTTTGATGTTTGAAATTCTAGCCCCTACCCTACTTTCGACCAGGTAGTGATCAGAATCCGCATTTGCCCCTCGTCTGGTGCGGACGTTCTTATATTCGATTGGTGTCTCGAGTCTACAATGACATGATCTATCATATTTACTGTAAATCCATCTGGAGATTTCCAGGTACCTTTGTGTATATATAAGTATGTGCTGGCAATCACCATGTTAAGTGGTCTTGCTAGGTTTATTAACCTATTGCCATTCTCATTTGATTGCTCATGGAGATGTGTCTACCTATTGTGGGTTGGAATTGCTGTTCTCTTCCAACTTTGACGTTTAGGTCTCCATAGATTATTTTTATATCATTGTTTGGGCATAAATGATATGCGGGACTCTAATTCATCATATAACCCTTCTTTTTTCCTCTTTTTTTTCTTCTGTCGGGGCATATGCATTAATTAGACTGTAGTTAAAGAAACGACCTTTAACTCTTAAAATGCACATTCTTGGACTAATGGCTCTGAAATCTCTTATAGTATGCTTTACCCTCTTGTTTACTATGAATCCTGTGTCCAAGACGTGATCTTTAGGATCGCAGCTGTAGAATATCGTATGGCTTCTTTTTTCCATTACATTCTTTCCAATCCACTTCATTTCTTGTATGGCAGTTATGTCTATTGTATCTGTCTAGTTCATTTAGGAGATTTTGGAGAGCTCTCAATCTATATAAGATACGAATATTCCATGTCGCAACCCTCAAATCGTATTCCTTTTTCTCGCACAGTCATCGTCGTTTGATCAGTTCGGTTTTTCTTCCTTGAACGTTCATAACTCATCGTTTTTCTAGAAGAAGTTAGTTAACCTTTAGACCAACCCCCTATTCGTCGGAGAACCAAGACTCCCTTTTTCGTCAGCCCTGACCCCACCTTCCACTGGGAGTTGGTTACCCAATCTCCAGTGGAGTTGGTCAGATTACCACCGTGCACCAACTTGGAGGTGACGATAGGAATTGAGTAGGATAGGCTGAGTGATGCCAACAGGATACGGCATCGTGTATTACGCCTCACTACCCCTTTACACACCCACTTGTAAATAATAGTACACAAAATTATATGTTGATCTTTTTCCAGTGCATTTACGTTTACAGGCGGTCAAACTATAAATCCAGCTTTACTGCCTATCCATTATAAATGTTTGATAATTGTTGGAATATTGGTAATATCTATATAATATAGTTTTTTCTCTGATAACGAAAACCATCAGCTGGCAAAAAGTTGTTCAGGTTCGAAAAATGTTAAAATCAAACTTTGTAATTGAACTTCAGGATTATTCATAATGTTTATTGAAAAAGAAAAAGTGTCTGGTTTGTTTTTGGTGTGCACAGTTATCAAAGCAAAATTAATCATACAAAATGTTTTACATCTTGCTTGTCAGAAACTCTTCAGCCCTTTATTTTTAACTAATTTCATTATATTTTGACTCAGATTTATGTAGATTACATGTTTCACATTCTTTCAAGTATTCTTCATAACCTAAACATTTATTTTATTTGGTCCTTGTACTATTTATTGCACCTGCTTTATTAGTGAGAATTCTGTAAGTCACATATTTCGTATTATAAGTGCTCTGTAAACATTAATTCCACTAGCTGCACAATTTCATTAGAATATACTTAGACAAAAGTGTCCTATCTTCATAGATTTATACAGACATGACACTTTAACTAAAATAGTGTGTATATAGGAGATTTTTTATTCTCAAGAATGTAACTACATGTGTTGAAAAGGACTAACTAAAGTACATTATTGTATATTTTCAGCTGGTAAAATGGATTTTCTTACTAAACAAGTTAACAAATATCCAAGAGTAGTAGAATATT